CACCAAAACTCAAGCCTGCATTTTCTCTAGAAAGGCGGAACTCAGTATGCCCGATATTGTAATGTCTGGCTTCACCATTCCCACCAAGCCCACCATATCTATGCTCGGTATTTCCATCAGCAACACTCTTCCATGGGATAATCATGTCAGATCCTTCGCATAAGCTGCTTCACAAAAACTCGGATTCTTGTTCCGTGCGAAAAGCTACTTTACACCTCAACAGTTTCTCATGATCTACAAAGCGCAGATACGGCCTGTTCTAGGATACTGTTCCCACATATGGGGTTCAGCACCGGAACATACGCTGATGCTCTTAGATGTCATCCAGAGAGGAGCCATTCGCCTGGTGGCTGACGCCACACTCACTCACTCTTTGACATCATTGGATCACCGTAGAAAGGTCGGCGACCTTTCACTTTTCTATTGATACTTCCACGGGAAATATTCTTCGGAAATCTCTGCTGTCATCCCTTCACTAGCAATACCAATCAGACGAACTAGACGAGCCCAGTCAGCACATCCTTCCGTTGTCAACCTCGAAAGATGTCGAACAGCACTTTATCAACACTCCTTTATCCATAGAACGGCTAGGCTCTGGAATTCATTGCCTGTGGAAGTATTCCCAACAACATATTATCTCCAAAAGTTCAGAAAAAATTCCAATACCTACCTCCTGTCCCTATCCTCCCTAGGAACGCACGATGTTCTTTGAACATTATAGGGATTCCCCCTCGTGCGCTCCAAGCGATAAAAAAAAAAGACGGTTTTGACATGCTTTGACAAAGATGAAATGTGTATAGAGTACCTACCTCATTTCTGGTGAAATACATCAGAACACAAGTGAACTGATTATCATTCATTCTCATGAAATTTATAGATACTTAAATGATACAGGATTTCCAGAAAAGTGTTCATTTTGTACCATATTCAGAACTCACCCACGGGTGTTCCTTCTTTGGAGCGATTCACGAGACAGTTTTTTGATATTTTTCCTTCCAGATTTTTTTTGATCAAATACGCTTAGCATAGCACCCACTTTTGCAGAACTGCAGAGAGATATTTTCAAGCCGAAGTTTCACTTATTTGTTTCTTCAATTTTGAATATCTTCTTCCAAAAATATATTTCGGATTACTGTAAACTCACAACCGGTATGTATTATGTTATTTCATAACATGCGCATGCCCTTTGTCACAATATCTTATCTGTGATCTTATGTCGTGTCACACAGCACAGAATTTTTAGACAGAGAATGATTCAGATTATTCTGAATGTTCAATAATGATCCATTTTTATGAGTGAAAAACTGACCCGCGTGTCATACGGACTTTACTCTTCATTTCAAAACAGACACCTCATGCGAGGATTTTCACTGTATTTATGTTTGAATCGACAGCAGATTTTGTTTCTGAAACGTCCAAAGAAATGATGAGCAAAAATATCCCTAGGGTATCTACCTACTTTTTTATCATTGTACCAAGCCGGTGGCCCCAGGCATTCCGCTCATCTTGCCTCCCTCTCATTACGCCACTGCTTACAGTCAACATTATGAACATTTTTTTATTCCATAGTTGCTACCTCCGGCAGCCTCGCAGCCCCTGATGCCTCGCCCGAAATCGTCCCCGTAGACGGCGGCCTGAGCGGCTATGGCACCACTACCCGCTACTGGGACTGTTGCAAGCCCTCTTGCGCCTGGAAGGAGAACATCAAGACGCCTACGATGACGCCCGTCCAGACCTGCGCCATAGACGGCAACACTGTAGTCAACGCATCGGTGCAGTCGGGATGCATTGGCGGCTCTTCCTACATGTGCAGCAACCAGCAGGCGTTCGTGGTTAATTCTACTCTGGCTTTCGGTTTCGCTGCTGGTTCTTTCACAGGTAAGCGTTCGGTCGGCTGTGGGCATTCACCATGTACTCACGGCGCCGGGGTGGAGGTTACGAAAGCGTAGAGGGCTTACGTTACGTTTTTTTAAAATAGACAGTTGCAACTGTCTAAATAAACAGTTGTAGCTGTCTAAATAGACAGTTGTAACCTGTCTGATTAGACAGTTGTAACTGTCTAAATAGACACTTGTAACGTAACCCAGTTAACACAGGATATCTGATGGATATCCATTTCAAGTCCTATTCAAGGCGGGCTATCCGTGGACATAAAATGTATATCTATAAGATATCCGATTGCAGATCTACTTGAGATATCCGAAACAAACGTCCTGAATTCGTCCATAGGATATCCATAAGATACAGAGACAAAAGATCAATACCTAGAAATTTCAAATCAAGTATACACAATGAATGGAATGATAAATAAATAAAAGGATGAGGTCCACAGAAGAGACACTTGTACCGAACATCTTCTTGACAAAATCTGATTTCGCTCCAAAACTTTTGCTGCCTTCAAATTTGTTTCTTCTTCTTGATTCATATCACATGAAATCGAAAATATGATAAACTCACTATTCGAATGTGAAGAATTAATCGATTAGCAAATCGTTTATATCGTGGTATATTTCGATTCGACGAGAAGTGGTTAATGGGCATCTATTGGATGTTTATTCAGTGTCCAAGTCTATATGGATCAAGCACTATTGAGCGTACGATATATCATATCCAGAATCGTACATTTATTGAACGTACATACATAGAATCATAGATGTTCAATTTGTGAACGTACGTTCATTGCATTCACGTTCTAAAACTACCATAATATGGATGTTTCATGATGTCATGAAATGTACATTCACTGGACAATGAAAAGACGCACGAAACTGAACATACAATACATATCCGGAATCATACATCCACTGAACGTACATAAAAGTACAATTTTTTGACAAACAAACTGGAAACAATTATGTACATTCCTTGTCAATCCTAAATTCACCATTCTATGGATGATTCACAACGTCGCATATTGTTCTTTCAATAGACATTCCTGAGAGGTTGAATATTGAACGTACAATAGATATCCAGAATCGTATAATCATTCAACGTTCATATATGTTCAATTTGTGAACGTAAAGTCTATATCACTTTCGTACATTTCTTGGACGTTCTAAAGCTGCCATAAAATATATGTTTCATGATGTCGAAAATTGTACATCCACAGGACAATCATTGGACCTACGAAACTGAACGTACAATACATCGTACATCTACTGAAGTTGCATTGCAGTCCATTTTGTAAACAATCCAATCATATACTTCTTATGGACGTGCTAAAGCTACCATCATATGGATGATTCCTGATGTTGAATATTGTACTTTCAATAAACATGCAAACATCAGACATCCATTGATTGTACATAGACGTTCAATTTGTTCACGTACAATCTAGATTCAATAACGTACATTTCTTGGACGTTCAGAAACCAGCAAATATGGATTTTCAGGTAATGTCGGATATTGTACTTCCAATGAACATCCATTTGACGTACAGTTTTGAACTTACAAAATATATCCGGAATAGAGTACATTCATCGAACGTACATGGACGTTCAAATCGTAAACGTACAATCTAGATCCGATTCCGTATATTTCTTTGACGTTCTGAACCTTCAAATATGGATGTTTTGGTATGTCGAATATCGTACTCCTAATAATGGACATCCATAAAGCGTATATTACTGAACATTACAATATATATCCTCAATTTCACAACCATTGAACGTCAATGCTAGGTTCATGGACGTTTGAACATCATTTGGACCTAAACTGGACGTCCACTGGACGTCGTGTGCTAAATGGGCGAGCGCGGCGGATCTCTTTCGATCCAGCTCTCTCAAGTGATTTTGCGAAGTCTATAACGATTGTTTCACTTTACTCAGGTGGCGTCGACAACAACCTTTGCTGCTCCTGCATGCTGCTGACCTTCCAAGGCCAGCTGGCCGGCAAGCAGTTCCTTGTGCAGATCACCAACACCGGCGGCGACTTGGGCTCAAACCAGTTCGATCTGGCCATTCCCGGTGGTGGTGTAGGCATCTTCACCCAGGTAAGAAATCCACGGTGATATTTCCTTCTATATGACACTCTTTCAGAAATTGAACTTTACCAGTAAACACAAAGATCCGTCAAATTCATGTCTCGCATTGTGATCTGAACAGCTTCTACAGGGTGCATCATTCTTATATCAGCGATATTCATTTGTTTCACCTCGCACAATTTTCTGGAGGTTCAGAACAGACCCTACAACTTTTGTATTTGATGAACCCTGTAGATGCTGTTTGAATAAACAGAATGATCATGTACATAACAATGCGAATTACCAGACAACATCATTAGTATTCATTTTACTCGATCATTTCAGATTTTCTCTCCTCATCGTTATTACAAAATCATGTGCCTACGCGCATATTATGTGACGTCATCTGGGATACCAATATCAGCTGCTAGTCACAGACAGATACCGTTGCCATGGGCATGCGCAATGAATTCAATCATGTTTATTGAAATTTCAATAAGTTTCTCGATCTGTTTAGGAATAATTCAATTTATATAAACAGGTACCTATTCCTTCGATTTTACTATTTCATTGATTATGGAAATTGTGATCTTGAGGTAATAGACTAGGCACGTTTTCAAAAATTAACAATGCAAGAAGCATTTCATGTAACAATTGGGGAAACAACGTTTTTAAGGTATTTCGACCCCGCTGAATACGAATCTGCCTGTTGCCAAAGCGAAATTTGGACCGGAAGTCCGGTATCCAAGATGGCGGCCGGGATGGTGGTCAAAACTCTGTTGCCCCATATCTCCCATGTCCGTTGGCTTGTAATAATGGTTCAAACATCTGCTTAGGGGTTTTATTGGATGCTTGGTACTTTGCAGTGCTTGAAATTTACTTACCTCAAGTAATGAGTGCATGGGCTTCAAGATGGCCGCTGAAGGAAGTGAAGGAAACGACCATTCCAGAGTTCAAACACTGTTTATTGCAGGATTGTGGAAAGATAATGAAAAAATAGTTCGGTAGCTGATGGCAATAATACAAAAATTATAATTAATCAACCATTTGAAGAGTTAAGACATTGGTGAGAGCGGTGGCACAACTTGGTGCAAGTCAGTCCATTCTTCTTGCACGTGCACATTGTTGTCAGGCAGTGGGACAAACAATTACAGGTTAAAATGTCCGTGCAAGCTTTGGGAACGGGCTCAAGTGTCATAAGGATGGGAATGTACTCGTCTTGGTGAAGCCTCCACCCATATGACTCAGGATCCATCACCTCCGGTCGGGCATGATGAGCATTTTCCCACACGTTCACCTGAAATGTTTTTAATTATAATTACCGAGAAGCAACTGGTTATACTGATCACAGTATGCTTCCCATCATTTCTTTACCTGGTAATGGCATCTTAGGAGGTGTAGCCGCAGCGCATCGCTTGTTGGAGGTAAGGCTTCTGGCTTTTTCACAACACCAAAAAGTTGATATCTGGCTTCATCCCCGCTAGATACATCTTTATTCACCTGTTCAGAGAAATATAAACGTTGTAATTGATATTTGGACTTGCTGAAACACCAGAAAAAACTTTACCGACCTTATAGAGCTGAACGAGAAACTTCTCTGCATTCGCCTTCGATGAGGGAGTTAGCGGAGAGTGCCCTAGGTTGTCTAAAAGTTGGCAGGCCGTTCCATTGAAGTTTTTCCACGCTGCTTTCTTCGTTATCGTTGCAAGGTGAGACGTCGAGTCGCAACCCGTAACTGCGTGAAACGCCAAGATGTTCTTCTTTTGAACATTAGGGAGAATGTTGCAAATCTCATGTATTGGGAGATACTTTCTTTCTTTCGCTGTGCCACTCATCATCCACACTTTAGAACTGGTCATTTTGTCAAAGTGATGGATCAACAGCAAACAAATGTCGGTATCCCTGGCCATGATGACGATGTTGTCAGCATCAGAGTGGACAGCATGTAGTACAACGCGTGTATCTGCCTCTTCATGTGTCGCTGCTAGGGAACTGACGTCGGATTCGGGGTTGGTTGATCGCACATCCTCTTCATGTATGAGTCCTCCGGAAACAACAACTTCGATGTCATTAAAGACATGTTGGAGAACTTCCTGAGAGAGGAAGCGGGCTAGGTCGGCCTTGTTTTCCCCCAGTGCTAGGAAATTCTTCCAATTTTTTGGCAGTGGAATGGCTGTACTTGTGATGTCCCTTCTGACTGGAGCAGCTCCCCTGGTCCGTCTGCAGCGGGTCCCACTTTTGATCGACTTGGGACGATACCGGTCAAAAAGGATGTCGACTCTGGCATACGGTCTTCCAAGGTGAACCACCCTGTCAATGAATATTGCTGCGAGGTCTCCGAAAGTAGTGGCAGTTGCTGGTTTCCCTATGCTGTTTACTAAAGCTTGACCGTCTATAATCAGTTGCGAAGTGTTCCGATCAATGTTAATGGAGTTTGGGCATTCCACGCCTTCAGCAACGAGTTTTATCATCGATGCTTTTTCAGACGATCTGAGGGTGCCATCCATTTCCGCTATCGATAAGGGTACTGAAAGAAGCTCGTGCTTCAAAATGGAGGGCAAGTCAATTTGTCTGCCTGCTTCGAAAGCTACAATTAGACGACGTAAAACATCCCTGTCAGCCTCCACAACCTTTTTCCGATCTTTAGTGTCCTTAACTTTGAAGAGGTCTGAGAGAGTTAAAGCAGAGTTTTTTGGTATTTTAGCATAAAAACTTTCGACAGGTTTTTCAGACGACTCTTGAACAATAAGACGCTGATTTACAAAGTTGATAACCAGATCTGATCCGCGCTTCTTCGCTTCAAGGAGCGATGTCTGAATTTCTTTGGTTGCCCGGTCTTTAGTGGCGACGTTGCAGACACTTGAGCTAGGAGCCGTAGGGTCCATCAAATGGAATGACTGCATAACTTTGAGGAGTGCATTTTCATCAGAGTTATCTCTTTTTCTTCGACCTAGTTTCTCCTCCCAACCGGTTTTCGATAGGCCTTGTCCATACATAGCGTAGGTTTTCTGAGTGATTTCTCCTCTCCAGTGGAACGATAAAGCCCAGCGCTGAACCGTGGATGCATCTTGAGTTATCCCGACTAATCCACCGGCACCCTTGCTGATGCCGACAACCCATTCTTGTGCATGGTCTGGATCAACTTGTGAAAATTTCTGCGGGGAACGTAGCACTGCGAAGTCTCCATTCAAGAACTCTTCTTCAACTTCGGCCGGCAACTGATTCATGTCACAGATGTACGCTGTGAGAGATCTGAAGTAATTTCCGTGGTCATATCGGGCGATGAATGGAAGCATTTTTGTAAGAGCTGCTCGGTATGTCATCCACTTTCCATCTCGGATCCCCCTCGTGAACATTAGTAATGTCAGGATCATGTCCATGTAGGACCACCAAAATTCAAAATTTGGGCTTTCTTTGGACTTCTCCTCTAAAAACTCAGACAATAATTGCAAGTTATTTTCACTTTGAAGAAAATATTTCAACTGCAGGGGTTCCTCTGATATGCGCATGAACTCTGCAGAATCGACGCCATGCTCTTCAAAGAAAGACACGATCTGTGGAGCTAAAATCTGCCATATAGCTTGAAGCGTAATCTTGTGAGCCCTCATCCCTTTTCCATAGGCCTTGCCGTCGATTATTCTGGATATACTGCCTCACCCATTAGTCCGCTTTCTAGCCACATTTCGACGAGGCCGCTTCCTGTTATGTGCTTTCCGATAACCTTGAGGAAGTTCATAGCTATGTGAAGACCGCCCATCCTTAGAATAACCCGGCTCCGCACCTCTTCCGAACACCATTTCAGTTCCAACAGTTTACAATACAAGGCCTGATCTGTTGTCAGTATTACATGACGCTTTCCAAGTTTGTCAGCAGCTGTGATGCATCTTCGAACGACGGTGTTTAGTGTTGTCATCTCGTGAGCAGGGTTCAGGATCAAGGGCATATACCCAATTTCCGAAACTTCGTAAGTAGAGCTGGATGACTTTTTATTGAATTCCGTCCATCCCAGCTTGATCGTGTCGTTTACACGAGAAATTCCGAAAGCCAAATCTTGTATTCGAGCCTCTCGGACACACAGCGGCAAGTTTTTCATATCTCCTGGCTCACTGGCGCGAAACCAATCGGCTTCTACTGGTTTTGAAAAATATGGCTCCGGTCGTACCTTAGGAATGTTTGGTGGCAACAACTGATTCAGCACGTCGGGGACCTTTAATGTTGATTTTGGGTCAAGCTTCACAGTGCGCAACACTTCATCCGTTCTTTGACCACTTCGTTGAAAAGCGACCATCTGGGTTGCGTGGAACGTCCTCTTACCATCAAGGGTGTCTGTCAAAATGTCAATGTTGTCCGCCGTTATATGCAAAGCTGGTCCATTCCTGCCGTCAATTTCTGACACCTTGAAATTTGGTGGGATGACGGCACCGGTAGCGTTGTCAAGAGACTCCAAAGTAACATTCGCGAGAGCTTTATCCGCCTGGAGAACCTGTTTATAGCTCATACAATGCCCTGCCGAGTGGAGCAGAGTTACAAGTTTACGAGACCGTGTCTGCTGATGTACAGATAAAGCTAACCCGATATGTTTTGGTGTCAACTTCTTACCGCCACTCACAGCATAGACTATATCTTGGCCTATAGAGAGCTCGGAGTTTTTGGGTGAAGGCCGTAATTGCACAGTTTCTGAGATCTCGTCGTCTTCTTCTTCATTACATGAGTCATCGTCTTGGTCTTCGGCAACAATGTCGAGAACTTCTTCTCCACCTACCAGTACGCTCAGGAACAAATTGAGATTTTTTGGTATGACTGCGGCAGCCTCTTCTTGGGAAACATGAAGCCCTGAGTGACCCGGCGAATCTTGCAACTCTCCTCTAAGAAGAAGCGCAGCATGGACAAGAATTGAAAAATCATCATTGAGCACTTGTCTTGGAATCGAGACATCTTGATCGATTTCTCCTAAAGTAACATCCGCAGTCACCCTGGCCGAAAACTTTCGGGGTATCAGAAGACTCTGCCTTCCAGTGATGTCCTTGTTCAAGGGCTGGAAGAAGAAGAACGAGTCCTTGATGTTGTTTTGCAATTTATCTTTAAAAGTTGACAAGCGCGATTCGAATGACTTCGGTATCTCAACGTCGATTGTTCTTGCCAAGTGAACGTATCTTTCCCAAACATCTGAAAGTTGCAAAACGTGACCCAGTGAGGCTGAGACTTTGAGCTCTTTGCAAATTTGGATCATAGGTAAATTACTTTTGCCAGACTCCTTCATCTGCATTTGTATTTTCTTCTGGATCCTCTCGGCCTTTACTATACACAGACTGTGGTATTTTACTTCAGATGCTATCAAGCACGGCATACAATTGATGCGAACGAAAAGTTGATGGTCATAATTAGCCAGCATTCTTATAGTATCATTCATTGGCTTCGACATCACCTGCCTCAGTGCTTCGCTTTTATCGGTTTGGCAGAAAACACACCTGCTGATGTTGACACAGTCAGTCCGAGCCCTGGTGACGTATCGAGATGACGACGGTTCTGTAGCAGCACATTCCGCCTCTTGTGAAGGCGCTGATTTGTTCTTCAACCTTTCCAATCTTCCAGAATTGGCAAAGTTTGAGTAGCATCCGCGATGGTACTTGAATTTCTCGTCACTATTTGTCAGCGTTTGTTCGATCCTAACAATAGTGGCAGCAAAATCAGCATCATGGAGTTCTTTCCTCAAGCCTGCGTACTTCAGAAGAGTCTCTTTGCCGTTATCCGTTAGATCTGATAATTTGTCCTTTGAACACTTTCTCTTCTGGCAGATAATGCATAGGTTGTGGTTGGACGTTACAGCCACCAAGGAGCCAACCGTTAACGCCATATCCTGTAACAAACTGCAATAACACAATTCTGTTACCACATTGTTTTTTGAAGGCTGTATTGCTTGAAAATTCCTTTTTTGATAGAGATATCGAGGGCAGATTCGTGCATTCCTTACTACTTAGGCATCTCAACTGGGTCCTCCGAGATGCACAAGTACTAGAGGATCTGCCCTCCATTTCTCTATCTATCAAGGAGTTTTCAAGCTATAATATGTAAAAAATACAGTAATAGTCTACGGACTAAGTATATATTTAACCACTGTATATCTGACAGATATTGCACTCCAAATACAAGAATACGTGAAAAATAAAGTTTCGGCGACCATCTTGGTCGCTACGTCAAAACCCACGCACTCCAGGCTCAGGGTAAGAAATTCCTGAGCATTTCAATATGATGAGCATCCGAGAAAACCACTAAGCTGGCGTTCAAATCAATATTTTGAGCCAACCGAAAATAAAGATATGGGGCAACAGTGTTTTGACGACCATCTCGGCCGCCATCTTGGATACCGGACTTCCGGTCCAAATTTCGCTTTGGCAACAGGCAGATTCGTACTCAGCGGGGTCGAAATACCTTATTAACGTTGTTTCCTCAATTGTTACATGAAATGCTTCTTGCACTTTATAGAGATGTATTTCCTGCTTATGGGCCTGGTCTATAATTCGCAATCGCAAATAGCAAATACATACGAATTATCATGCATTGCCGATCCCATCTGAATGATCCACTACTGTGTCGATTCTGACAGATTAAAATTCAGCGGTTAACGACGTTGACGTTGCTTCTGCTCCGACTTGGCTCCGACATCGGCAACAGGAGTATCAATTTTTTCCGTTTTGTTATTCAAATCTTTGCTGCAATTTATATTTTGTGGGAAATTAAGAGTTTTGAATTCATTTTCAATAATTCTGACTTGATATTCGGAAGATGTTCTGTAGGAATGGCATCTTGTTTCAAATATTTGTGATTTTTTGGAGGTGTCTAATTCAAGAACCGTTCTTTCGCACTTGTTTGGGATCATTTTGCATGGAAATGTTTTGAAGAAATACCTGATGTAATATGAATGTGATGATAATATGATAGGTGAATACTTTGCAATGAGGATATGGGGAATATATGGTAGGTATTATACCATTATATGAGTTTATATTTTGTCGGCAGCCATCTCCCATCGTTTCATTAGGTCTGCGTTCTTGGAAAAGCAGAAAAATTCAATATCCGTGCCTTTTGTATGTTAGTTGGCATTTCCATAACCACGGGAAATGTTCTTCGGAAATCTCTGCTATCATCCCTTCACTAGCAATACCAATCAGACGAACTAGACAAGCCCAGTCAGCACATCCTTTCGTTGTCAACCTCGAAAGATGTCGAACAGCACTTTATCAAGACTCCTTCATCCATAGAACGGCTAGGCTCTGGAATTCATTGCCTGTGGAAGTATTCCCAACAACATATAATCTCTAAAAGTTCCAAAAAAATTCAAATTCCTACCTCCTGTCCCTATCCTCCCTTGGAACGCACGATGTTCTTTGAACATTATAGGAAGCCCCTTTCGTGCGCTCCAAGCGATAACAAAAAAAAAAAAGTAGGCATTTCGGAATTATTTCATTCAATTTTAGTACTCATATAATATCTGAAGTTCGAGACATCAATCACGAAAACAAATAATATGAATGACAGTTATATCCCAGCTGACGTCATGCGCAGAACAAGACGAGTTTGAGCTTTCCGTTGAGCACACCATCTTCTCCTTCCACTATGCACAAAATAAAATATTGAGTATTATTTCAATATATGTGTATGTAGTACAAACCAGATGATTTTTTGCACCAAAAATGTCACTGCGTTCAACAAATTGTTCTATCAAGGAGCCTAAAAGGAAAATCCAATAGCTTGTCAGTGATACTTTGTTTGGAAAAAAGTTTGAAGTAAAAAATAATGGAGATATTGAAAAAATATCGAATTTTTACTCATCTTTGGACGTTTCTAGAACGATTCTGCTCCCGTTCTCAACATAAAAATGCAAACTATATTTGTCTTCCAAAATTTTGTTCTCATAGTTTGACCATTGTCGATCTAAATGAAAACCTAGTAGGCGACCTAGTACGCGAGGAGGTATAATATTGTCTGTTCTTTGAATCAAAATCTGTCTGCCTGTCAAGTGGCGCTGGCATCCTGAAAATGGAAAAAGCTCATTTGTTTCTGTCAAAATAGACCATATTAGGTTGATATTCTCTTCTTCTATTTTTCTCCAATATGTACTCAACCACAGACGTGCTTTCCATCATTGACGTGATATTTGATAGGAAGACGATGGAGAAGATTCATGTAATCATAAAATTATTTTCTGACAGTTGTCATTAACTTATAACTTCGTCTTTGTGGATGTGTTGAACTTTGATTTCATGATTTCCTTTCTTGGAAATTACAATTATACCTATACCTAATCATTTCTTCTAGTATTGGTTTTCTATCAGAGTTTGTTGATTGGTTTGTGAGTGCGATTGTGTTATTTTGCAATGTCATCTGAAAACTGCGCACTCCAGGAGGTGAAGGTGTAATTGAATTATCAAGACATGGTTTCCCCAATCCCCACTGTTGTGAATTTGAGCCTCAAATCCTGAGGCGTCAATGGGTTCACGCCATATTCATTGGATATCAAGGTGAACTTTTTTTCTTGAATCACATAATATTTGGAACTTAATGATATTTATATTTCAGGAATGTGTTTTTGAAGTAAACGAACATGATA